GATATTAATACTAATACTACTACTAGTATTAGTAGTATTAATAACATTAATAATAATAATAACAATAATAATAAGAATACTAAGAGCACTAATAACACGAATACAACCAAGTGTACTACTACTAACAGTAATATTACGACTAATGATACTCATCAGAACACGAATACTAATACGAATAAGAAGACGAATCCTAATACTACTCCGAATCATGATACGAAGAAACCTACTCATAGTAATCAGAAAAAGACGAAGAGGATGATGATGAGGAGGAGGAGGAGGAGGGAGGAGGAGGGAGGAGGGAGGAGGAGGAGGGAGGAGGAGGGAGGAGGAGGAGGAGGAGGAGGAGGAGGAGGAGAGAGGAGGGAGGAGGGAGGTGGTGGTGGGACTGTGACATGGGACCTGGGTCCGCGTTCATCTCTAAGACCTCGTGCCTATACCTCCCGATGTGTAAGAGGGGGGGGGCACAAGGCGGGTCCGGCCTTGAAGTGGGCCGAGAAGCTGAGCGTGCCTCGCCAGGGGGCGCGCCTCTGGTGTGCGGCCTCCCGTCGGGCCTCGCGCCTCCTCGCTGCCTCTGCCCTGTTGGCAGCGATGCGATCCAGCTGGGCGAGGGAGAGAGGCGGGGGAGGCGGCAGCGGCGGCGGCACAACGGCGGAGGGAACGGGGGAGGAGGGAGGACCGAAAAAAGCAATGACTTCAGACTCCACATCCGAACCAGGGGACACGAATTGTTGCGGTTCAGATGCTGGAGTCGGATCACACCCACATGCGTCCAGTGTCGGAGAGCCACACTGTGGGCTCTGTGGGCTGTCCTCGGGTTCCTTGGGGTCCTTCAGGAATCTGTGGATCTCCGGATCAGCTCGTGAAACTCCTTCCTGCCTCTTCCTCCTGTGCACATAGTCGGGCGCAGGATCGAATTCAGCATCAGTGTGTGGCATGTAAAACAGTCGGAGGTCATCGATGAGGGAAGGGTCAAGATCCTCGCCCACGATGTCTGCATCGTCGGCGTGCGCAAAGATTCTGGAAATGGATGCTGCGATCGATGCGGCCATCCTGTTACACATCTCCGAGGGGTGCGTCTTTTCGGCATGGGTTCGGACCTGTGGGCCCCTTTCCCTTTCCGTCCGTCTCCTTGCCACGCAGCATCTCGTGAGCCCCTTTGGGGATGATGACATCGTCCCTTCCTCGGGGTACACCTTAGGCGATGCTTAAGAAAACCCAAGTTTTCGGCCAGAGTCTCGATTATTCTTAATGTTTCAAGGTAGATCCTAAGATTTGAATAGACATTCTGGGTTTTTATTCAAATTCTGAGACTATGAATTTCTTAACCCATGATTTCTTAACCATCTCGCAGGGAGTATCTGTCAACCTGCTGGCAAGGCATTCCATGCGCAAGCCCAGGAGCCCTGTGGGCGCACGCCCATATTCACCGGGGCAACGTGCAGCTGGCTGGTGCACGCACTGATCAAAAAGTCTGCTGTGACAACGTTGGGTGCTGATGCGAGCGCTGCAAGGGGCTCCCATTGGAAGCTGCTGGGAGCCTGGGATCGCCAATAGGGGGGAATGGGATGCTCCATCCACCCCGAGGTCCCCGCAGTGACGTGGCAGCCCAAGAGGTACACCAAGTTTTGTAAGAGCGTGTTGCCTACCTTGAGCTGTTGTGCTTGTCTGTCGGTAGTCCAGGGGACGCCCCAAAACCATTCATGAGTACGCAGGGGGGGGACCCCCGTCCAGCCATCTGGCCGCACTCCATGTTTCACAAGGGCCCCCCCCCCAGTATTCCATACCCGTCTTGATAGGATGTGTTCCCCCCACTGTCGGATAGTATTGGCCTGTGTGAGGTCCCCTATTCTGGGATTGATTGCAATGTCCTCACTCAGCATACATACCTGCAAGTCCCTGTGTGTGTACATGCCGTCCAGCCAAAACTGTATGTCACCTTGCCTTCTCTTGCCTGAAAATAAATTCAAAATGAGCACCTCAGCTCGATGGATGCGGCAGGGTATCCACTCTGCCGCTGTCCCTTGAAAGTCGTGAGATCTGTATTTGTAGTGTCGGTCCATGTAGAGAGGCTGATCCTGGGTAGGCTCCTCGGGGGGGTCGTCGAAGAGGGCCTGGTAGGCTGGGAGAGCGTCGGGACTAATCTCATATGCTGCCTGCTGTAGTAGGGTCCTGGCTTCGGCTGCGCTGAAAGTGGCGGTTACCAGCATGGCTGACGGGTAAAGCCCGTCCTCTGGGTACTGCACTGTTGCTGGGAAAGCTGCTCGCCAGCGCCCTAGTCCTGCCTTTCTCTGAGCTGCATGATTGACTGCATCTGCAAGGCGCAATTCCTCGGCTCTGTCCGGGGATACTGCAGCTCCATGCATCATGTACGCTAGCTGGCATAGTGGCGCATCAAATGCAAGATGATCTCGCAACTGTCTTCTTGCTGCAAAAGACATAGAGCACGCCATGCATGTACTTCCCTCCCCCATGAAGCGTGAAATAAGGTGTACCGCACTGTAGTGTACACGCACGATGTGTTGTCGTGTGCTTTTGGCGGACGTGCCAAGAAAGCTGCACCACATGCATTGTAGGCTGGCATTGGACACTTTGGGGGGGTTAAATAGGGTGCGTAGGATCCGTGATGGGAACAGGCACGCCCGCTGGCCGAACGAGCGTGAACAAGTCGCTCTGTGCCTGCTGCGCCAGCGCTGCTCTAGCTGCTGCCATGACATGAGCTCAGAGCGCGCTGTTGAGCGCATGCTTCCACGCTGGCAGAGATGACTGAATGATGTCTTCCCAACTTGCAAAGTGTGTGTCTGGCTCGGGCATGTCACGGAATTTGTGGTATGTAGTACGTAACCACTCCAGGTCGTCCATGATTCCGTGCATCCAAGACGTGCGCCTGCCCTGTGCGACTCTATACACATGCGCAACCCAACTGCGTAGCGTGGGTGTGGCGTAGTGTATGAGTCGTCCTAGTATGCGTAACCTTTGCACACGCAGCACTGCACGTAGGTCAGCTCGCTCTACCTTAGCAAGGATCAGTCTGTCCGGGACTGAATCTTCATCCTTTTGCGGTAGGTGGAGCACCTGTCGATATTTATTCACCATGACGTGCTGCATGTGTGCGTGCTGCGCGTCGGTAAGTTGTGGCCAGGTGCCCGAGTTGAAGAGGAGGCCCTGGAAGAGGAGGGTGTCGGTAAAGTGTAGGCGGGCCTCTTGAGGGATATCCTATGGGGCCCCAACTATACGCCGTCGTAGCAGGTTAGCCCATGACCGTATATAATCCTCCCTGTGGGCCAACTCGAGCCCTATGGATCCCAGCTCATCCAGCTGTGTGCCCAAGTGTGGGTATGTGCGTACTGCATGTAGTGTGAACGTGCCCAGTAGGTCAGACTGTATCTCGAATGTGGGAGGAGGGAGGAGGGAGGAGGGAGGAGGGAGAGGGAGAGGGAGGCGGGAGGATGGAGGCGGCAGGAGGCAGGAGGCAGGAGGCAGGAGGGAGGAGGGAGAGGAGGGAGGAGGGAGGAGAGAGGGAGGAGGAGGGAGGAGGGAGGAGGGAGGAGGGAGAGGGAGGAGGAGGAGGGAGGAGGGCGGAGGGGAGGAGGGAGGAGGAGGGAAGAGGAGGGAGGAGGGAGGAGGGAGGAGGTCAGGAGGGAGGAGGGAGGAGGGAGGGAGGAGGCGGAGGAGGAGGCGGAGGCGGAGGCGGAGGCGGAGGCGGAGGAGGAGAAGGAGGAGGAGGAGGATGAGGATTCTATGGGATTCTATGGGCCAAAACGGATCGCGACGGCCTATGTTTTCGCGCCGTGGGAGATTCGGGCCGCTTCAGGCCGACCCCGAGCCGAGCCCAAACCTCCAGGGAGCCCCTAAAGGGGCTGGTTGGTGGTGGGGTGTAACCCATTCCACAGTCGATTCAGCCTACCCCCGTTCACCCTTTGGGCCCCAGGGCGACATGGGGCGAAGAGGCCTGTCCACTTCTCTCCGGTGGCGTACCTGGCACACCTGCGGCAGAAAATGTGGGTCTGGCGGTTCACGAGTTTGTGTCCCGCCTTCTGTGCTCTATCGACCCTGACTCCCCCCCAGTCCAGAGCGGCCCGAGACGGGAGAATGGCAGCCAGGGGCGAGGCAGGGGGATCGGGGGCCTCCAGGCCCCCCCCCTTCGCCCACGACCGCCCCTGGGTCCCTGGGAGTGTCCAGAGGGTCCGAAGGGGGGTCGGGGGGGTTCGAATCCGTCGGATTCGATCCCAGCTCAGTGTCGATATTATCTCTGCCTAGGACTTCTACACAAGCTCCGAATTCCAGGATATCTCGAGACAGCTGATATGTCTGTACGTATGTTTGATAGTGCGCGCGCGTGGGGCCCGATAGACTAAAAGGGGGGCCCCAGCTTCAAGCTACCCCCCTCCCCCCTTCCTTGCTAAAGGGGGTGGGGGGGGCTTCGGAAGCCCCCCCCCCCTCCCCCCTTTTCGTGGTTCGGAAAGGGGGGGGGGCTTCAAGCTACCCCCCCTCCCTCCCTTTAATTGAGCCGGGGTGAACCACCTCCCCCCTTTGAAAGGGGGGGGGGGCTTGGGAAGCTACCCCCCCCTTCCTTTCCGTGGCCCGAAAGGGGGGGGCGGCTTCCAATCTACCCCCCCTTCCCTCCTTTTAATGGAGCTGGGGTGAGCTACCCCCCCCTTCGAAAGGGGGGGGTGCTTTGGAAGCCCCCCCCCCCTCCCTCCCTTGGTGCAAAA